ATAAATTACATCAAATTAAAAATAAAAATACAAATAAGAGAAAAAAAAAACCTATTTTTGTTTCCATCTTTGGGTACTTTGTTCCACCTGTCCAACCTGTTTTGACCAAGAGAAGTTTTCCTAAAATGGAGACTTGAGTACATCATCTGACCTCATTTTTCTTAAGAAGTGCCCAAGTCTATTTTCAGCCAACCTTGATTTATAAGCTGTCTTTTTATATTCACACCATGTGAACTCTTTGTACAAGCTCTCCTCTCCTTCTTCCATGAGTGCTGCCAAGGGGACTATTCTCTCACTCAGAGGTGGCCCTCCAAAATAAATCATGGAAACCCTAGATTTGAAGCTGTTGGCCAGTACTCTATGTCTCACACTTTTAAACCTTCCATTGGTCATAACCTGCAAAACCCATCAAATCCAAGCAACAGGGAAATTAATGCAAAGAGAGAAATTGGGTACTTGGGTACTGGATGGAGTAGAGTCTCAGAGTACAGAAACAGAGAAGGGCCAGGGGTAGGGGAGACAGACTTGAAAAAATCCATCACAACAGTAGATAGAATCTTAAGGAGAAACCCATTAAAATGCTCAGAAATAATTTAAAGAAAAACCCATTAACAAACTTCGATTCATTAAACTAATAAATATACTGATTGCCACTTGGCAAATAGGCTTAAATTTCCTGTTTGAGAGATGGTGGGAGGAGACTCTGCAAGGAATGAAGTAATAACAGTAAGTGGTTACTGGTTGTACCTGGAGGGAATCACCAACGTTGATGAAGAAGGAAGTCTGATCAGGCGGGACTGAGACCCAGCTCCCATCTTTTAGAGAGATTTGCAGGCCCGACGCGTTGTTGGAGCGTAGAATCGAAATTATATGTGGGTCTGTATGCTCCCCAAATCCAATCAAGTTCTGACCACTCAGTGCTTGAAGCTCTGGACATGGAGGGTAGTGGTTTAATCTGAAAAAGGAGTCACTTTTATCATCCATCAAAAGCCTACTGAACACATTCCTCGGTTGAATCATCAGCCCTTCCGCCAGTAATTCAAGAACTTGGAAAGCCATCTTCCTCACTGCTGAAATATAATCATTGACAGCAGAGCTGAAACAGACAGGGAAGAACAAATTCAGAAATCTCTCCAAGAAAGAAATGCTAAACTGATTAAGAAGAAAATGAAACAAATTATAAGAGTTTGTTTCTCCTGCGTTTCTTACCAGAACATTTCTGGGTTTTCTCTGAAAATGGAAAGAGAGCTCTGATAAATGGTTTCGGGATTGATGTTGAAGAGGAGATATTCAATCCAACCCACATCACCGTTGGATCCAATTCTCCTGTTTCCATACCCAAATGGATCAGGAGGTCCTCTTCTTTCTTTCTCAGATTGGGGTAAAGAGAAGAATTTGACGGCTTCCGATTCCAATCTGGAAACAAAGTCCATTGGAACACCATGGTTGATAACCTTGAAGAACCCAAACTCTTCACAGGCCTTCACCAGGAGGGTCTTTGCGTCTGGCTTCGAGAGGTCTATTACAGGAATCCCAGGGAAGAAGAAAGTTGATTTGCAGGTTTTGATCAGAGGAAACTGGTCGAATGATGGTTTAGACAAGAGCACCATGGCTTCCTTCTGTTGCAGAGGAAACAGGGGAGATTTGCAAAGAAGAGCTGGTCGTAGAGAGAGAGAGATGGAGAGAGAAAAGAGGGGGAGATTGGGTGATAATGCAGATTTGGTCGATGAGGGTGTCATTTAAATGCGCAATGGGTGGGTTGGGAACTTGGGATTGCATGAACAGAGGCGTTACGAACTATAACGCTCATACATCTGGCTTTCGGGTCTGTTTGGCGACTCAACACGAGAAGAGAAAAGAGATAGAGACAGGATTATTATTTTATTAAATTTGTTTCTGGGTTTCTACTTTGTAGTAGGACTTCATTGAAAAGAAGTCAATTGGAGGAAGAAGAATTAAATTAAGGTGACGAATTAAGGAAAAAAAGCAGAAATGAATCCATTTTTATTAGAGTGGTTGAGGAACTTGCTTTGCTTATTAAAATGGGTTGGAATTTCAAAAGTGTCTACGCGTCTTGGTGTGAAATGACAACTGGGATAATGGAGTCCTTGTGTGAAAAGGACCGTAAAAGGGGCTTAACGTGAGAAGGTGTATAGCATGCACAAGGAGTTTGTGACATCACCCTCACCTTGATTTCATTGGTTTGAGATCCGGGTCGGGTTGCCCCATTCCCATTTTCATATTCAGCAACCAGAATCAGTTGATTAGTGATTTTTCTTTTAATTTCTTTTTGATAATTAGTTGATTAGTGATTAGTATAGCAGATCTTGAAACCAAGGATGCAACTTGGGTCGGGTCGGGTCGGGATGAAAATGCGTTAATTTTTAAATGAGCCCAGATTCTATCTCAGTTGAAATTCTTCAAGTTGGGCAGCTCCACTTGTAATCCTAGTGCCAACTTGTTTGCTGGTAAATTTCCATGCTTGTTTTAGGGTTAGGACCTTAGGGGGTAGCCGGGCAGGGCTGTTAACAGACTCCGACAATCAGATACCTGATCCGACATTTGTTTTTAAATAAATCCAATATCTAGTCTGATTATTTGGATTTAGATGTTTAACTGCAGCATGCGGATTTGACCCATTTGATCCATAAAAATCTAAATTGTATTATATTATATAAGTTAAAAAAATTAATATTTTAAATTTTCTTTATTTCAACGGCAATAGAGAATTTGATTAAAGTCTGATATTTCGAGTTTTAGGTCGGATTTGGATGTAATTGAATCCTATTTTGAATCTGACTTGATTATCGCTCTATGAGAGGAGTTAGTTAGGGATGCAACTTGGGGTGGGATTGGGTTGAACATTTTGTTGAATTATATTTTAGATGGGCCCTAGCCTGATATAATTGAAATTCTTTTGATGTATTTGAGCTTAAACTTATGCAACCCGAATTTCTGGCTGTGGGGTTGGACAGTGAAACTCCAGTAAATTCTAAATTTTAAATCACTATTAAATATTAATTTATAGTTGATTTGTTTTAGAGGGTGTTTGCCATTGTATATGATTTTGTTTTTTAAAAATAAAAATAAAAGTGCCACAATAATAAAAAAAGTGATTTTTTTTTCTCAAATTTACAAACTCTAGTAAAGATCCAAAGGATCTATGTTTAAAAGGGGTCATTACTTGGTGTAATAGTAAAATCTTAGGTGGGCAAGCGTGATAATATGGGTTTGAATTCGGGAGAAATCACTTTGTACCAAAAAAATGCCAAACATTAGGACTGTATCTACTCTACTCCTCCCAAGACCCCAGATAGTTAGAACCAACCTTGGATGATGGCCTTTTCTTTTCGTTGTTATTGAATTATTTATAGAGGGTGTTTGCTAATGTGTATATTCTTGTTTTCTAATAATAACTGCCAGATCAGCAAAAATGTGAATTTTGTTACTTACAAGATCTGTGCATCTAGTAATATTTGTAATTTGTAGATGGAATTAACTTATTTCACTAATAACTTGGATCTCAACAGTTACCTAGTGAATGGTTCAAGAGGCAGAGGATCCATACATACACGACTGAACATCCGGATTCGATCTATTGAGGGAGTTGAGATCTTCTGCCAACAAAATATGTTCCGACCCTCCACTAACTTGATCTAATACCACACATCTCACTATGAGACTGGGACCCATCATGCATGAGATGTGGGGTATAAGATCATGTTGATAGAAGGTTGGAACGTGTTTTATTGGCAGGTGATTCGGACTCCTATTCGGGTTGCCTTTGATCTGAATAAACCTTACAGAAAACAAAATAAAGAAAGATAGATGAAGTGGGGAAGAGACAAGGTTTAAAGCATCAGTGTCACAAAATGCATTAATAAGGTTGAAATTGGATATATATGGATGCATGTTGAGATATTCTTTGGATTCAGTGGAAAGATCTGGATATGTGAAACATCAAAAAATCTCATGAATTACATAAATATATTAATAACAATAACTTGAATAAGGAACAAGCATATAATTAACCAAAAATAAATAAATAAAGTTACAAATGCATAGGAAGCACATCAACAGTTTATATAAAAAAAATCACAAAATGCACTAATAATGCACCAACCAAGAATCCAACACACATACTATATAGCATTTTATAAATTATTACATGTATAAAGTCATTAATATGCCATTATTGGTTTGTTAAGTTATTATTTAAAAATAACTAAAATATACAATTAATAAAAATTATATATTAGATCTACAAGAATGTAGAAGATCCATAAATCCAACAGTTCAAGACACACATTATATGTTACTAAAAAATAAGGCAATTTAATCTTAAGTTCCTAATATACATGCTAAATGTAATGGCTATATAAATTCTTAAGATTTATTAGCATAAATAAAGATAATTTTTAAATAATATATTTTTCATTTCTATAAATAATAAATTTGTGGTTATTTAATTATTGTAAATAAAATTATTAATCAATAATTTATAAAAATATATAATCTTAATTAAAATTATATCAGATCCATTATATTTTCTATATTTGTTTCTTGAAATTACCAAAAAAAATGAAAAATCATCTTTTTTGACAAAAAGGATCAATGGATTTGATAGATCATTCACAGATCCATCTTCTACTTCTTTTCCTCCATCAAAACAATTTAATATAAATTATTTTCTTTTTTTGGATTTCCTTACTTTTGGGGGAAAATCCATAGATATGAAAAACATAATAAACCCAATAAAAAATCAAAATATATATCTTTGGATTTCAAACACCAAAATAGATCGATTGAAGGTTTAAAAAATGTGCGCATTCTTCTTCTTCTTCTTAGCTTTCTTCCTTGCTAATGTTAGACCTCAAGTCTTTTTTTAGATAGGAATTGTCTGAAGTGAGAAAACATGCTGGAAAAATGGAACTAGCAAATGTAAATTATTTCGCCGACACATGGTCCATATTAACCTGTATCAGTCCATATCGACCGATACAGGTTGGATATAGCATGATATGAACAATACCAACTGGCACATATGGAATGAAAGGTCACCAGCCCCGTTCTACTTGTGCCATGTTTTAGTTTCTATGGAAATGGATATGATACACCTTGTATCAGGCATATTGTGTCGATATTTTAAACCTTGGGAAGAGAGTTATTAGATGAGAAAATTTTGTTGGGCAAAGAAATAGTTGCCACCTAAAAAGCATTAAAGACTTTGTCCTACTTCCTGCATTTATAGCATACCCTAATTTTGTCCCCAAACATGCCCATGTCCCCCAACTTGTTTAAGAGTGGTAACCTCATGAGCTCTCATTGGATACCCCCTAGGTGTGTATCACTTATTGAGTTGAAAATAGAGAAAGTTCAATTTTGTTTTTGTAAAATATTTGAACGAATGGCTGAAAGGCTGAAGTTTTGTGCTTTTTACTTATTGTTAAAATGAAACTTAGCCTTTTTCAAATTAAATCAAGTAAAAATAATTTTATTTTGTCTTTGTAGAAAGGCACACTAAAAAAAATAAAGCAAATATATTACTTCTTATTTGGTGAAGCTCTCCATAACAATAATAACAACCAATGCAAAAGGCTATTGGATGCCTAAAATGTCATTTTATTAGCACAGCAGAGGTTGAATTTCAAGAAGAGGTTGTTGTTTTTTTCTTTTGACAAGTAGAACAGGACCTAGTTGGCACAAGTTTTCATTAGAAGAAAAACTTATTTTCAAAGAGTTTTACCCCAAATTCTCTAATTGTATTAAAAGCTTAGAGGTGCCCACATCAGTATATTTTCAAGATTTGTGAGGCAATAAATGATAAGAGCTTAGGACATTCATGATTTAAAAAGAGCACATTCATAGGATCATGGCATATTCTTTAATCCTTGTTCATATTTCTCAGTATAATTTCTTCCAATGTTGTCAGATAGGAGCGGTAGAATTGTTGACTTCATCAAACTTATTAAAATTTAATATTTAGGCCCCGTTTGGTTTGTTAGAATAGGGGTTTGGAATCAGAATCAGAATGGGCTATTCTGATTTCAACTGTTTGGCTGGGTGAATCGGAATCCCATTCTCATTTCTGTTGGAATGGCATTCCCCCATTTAAGGGAATGACCATTCCCTGTTCCTCCCTGCTGATTCCAATTTCCATTCCTATTCCTGCTGATTCCAATTTCCATTCCTATTCCTGTTTGAACCAACAGACTATGGGAATAGACCATTCCAATTCCAAATTTGAAAACCAAATGAACTCTTTTTGTTTTAAGATTATTTTGATGTAGAACAGTTTTAAAAGATTATATAAAACTATTTGCCTTTTTGTTATTTTTTATGTAAGTGAACCGGTTATCACACAATGGTCAAAACAATTTTTCATCCAATCCAAGTCTCAACAGTGATTTCTTCTATTTCTTTTTCCCTCTTATGCTAGAAGTCCCAAAGTGAAATCCATCCACTACATGAATTCAAATAAGCCATAGAATTTTCTCTATTTTTCATTTAGGTGGCATTCAGTAGCATGTATATATCGTGGATAGGACCGTTCTGGTCCTATCCACAATAAGATATGACATTCTGCTATGTGTGGACGGTCTCCATCTACAAAATAGTGTGGACATGGACGGGTCACACTCCAATTTATCATCTACAGTATTTTCTCGTGGATGGTCTATACTATGGTGTGGACAGTTTGTTGGGAGGTTTCAGTGTAATGCACATGTGTTACATTGGTCAAATTACTCTCATTTTATTTAATATTTTAATAATTTTAAAATTTTAAAATTTTAA